ACAAAATTGAAATTTTGGATAAATTTTCAAAAAAAATCAATTTTTTATTTTTTTATTTTATATATTTTTCGCCGGTCCGGTTTGGTTTCAAACCATAATTAAAATTCTCAAACCTAAACCAAACCGTTTTTGACCGGTTTGGTTTGGCATGGTTTGGTTTGGTTCAAAATCATTTCGTTGACGGGTCCACGTGGCACCACACCGTTCGGTTCGATTTTCCGGTTTGGCAGTTTTTGCTTATAGCCCTAATTGACCGGTATGAGAACTTTCTTTGATGAAATAAATGTGGTCCCCAATTTACAATTCACACACAAATTCATGATACTTCTTTTTCTGTCACTCCAAGCACTGGTCATGATTGAACACCCATTATTTTTCCACTCTTCTTCTTGGTTCTTTAAAGTTTCCTTTATCCTCTCCACCTCTCCCTTCAAAAGTGGCTCCCTTAGTTGGTATTGAGAATGAGGATTGTAACCAGGGCCATATTGACCGAGAGCTCCACAAATAATTTAAAACTATCATTGTTAATGGCATTGAAAGGAATTCCAGCTTATAAACCCATCTTGCCAAATATCGATGAACCTCTAATAACCTTTTCTTAAAAAGTGCATCATTCATATTTTGTTCTCTCAATTTCTTACTTGCACTCATAGACGCATCAATAAAATTAACAGACCTTGCAAATTGATCTATGGGTCCCACATTAATAGGCCTTTTCCTAGTCCTTCTTTCAATAATCGAAATTTCATTATCTTCTTCCTCCTCTAACTCCTCATCTATTGTAGGCAAAGATATACCCACATCTTCCCTTAATCTAGCATCATTCATTAGCTTCTCTATTTTTTTAGACTTGTTCCCCTGAATCGCTTCTGCACACTTGACTTTTTGTTCTTCACTTGCACTAGGACATGACACTACATCTTTTCCCTTGATTCCCACTACATGAAGTTTATGTCTATAAATTCTTCCCTTGGTAACCTCATCACATAACATGCATTTCACATTATTAGGATTTTTAGGATCTACCAAAATTGCGGTTTCCCAACCAATATCTCCGGAATCTCTTTTTAGTTGACTAGCATGGAATTTAGATGTTGTTGCGGAATCATCTTCTTTCCTTGGTTCCTACAAAAAAAATACTCATCCATGGGAAGAAACATACAGAAATGCTCAATATGCTCAATGCAAAAATGCTCAATATAGATGCTCAATACAGAAACAAAAATGCTCAAAGTGCATACTGCATACAGAAATGCTCAATATAGAAACAAAAATGCTCAAAGTGCATACTGCATACAGAAATTCTGATTTTACTTCAATGCAGAAATGCTCAATACAGAAACAGAAATGCTCAAAGTGCACACTACATACAGAAATGCTCAAAGTCTCAAAGCGAATAAATATTTCGCAGAATCAGATACAAACAGGGCTGGAGAAGCCCGGCATAAATAATTCGAATTTGATACCCAAACAGCCAAAAGGAAGGTGAAAAAAATTTGATACCGAGCAAAAATATGATCAAACAACAAAGTCCAAAGAGAGAAGCACAAATTTAAACTTCAATAGGTGAAGAATTTGTGTAAATGAGAGTTATTAAGCATACCCTATTTGCCCGTTTTCGCTATTGATAAATGCAAAACACTTCTCTTCTGGCACCTTGACAATAATCTTAATTGCAGCCTGCAGGAACCCTTTCAGATGAGATTCAAACTCAGTGTAAAAAAGAAACAAAAATAAGCAGATTGTCCGTGA